AAGTCTCTTGTTCATTAAACAACATGGAGGCCAGTGTCACTGGATTGAAAAGTACATAGCAAGGAAGAAGATGTAAGAAGGCTGGAAATATAGGAGGAGGCTACATTATGAAGGGCTTTAAAAATCAAACAAGAGGATCTTGCATTTGATCTGGAGGCAGTAGAGAGCAACTGGAGTTTGTTGAGTAAGGGGGAAGGGTGGTGACATGATTGGGCTTGCACCCAGACCTGGCGCTACCACTTTGGACAATCATTTAACCTCTTCAGGCTTTGAATTTCTCATCTGTAAAATGAGAGAATTCAGTGAGCTATGAGATCCCCTCCAGTTCTAGTAGTCTCTGGTTCTATAATTGTTGTCCTTTAGCAGATGGATGCTGTGCTTTAGTGCCTTGAAGGACAGACAGCTCAAATACAAAGAGTACCTGTTTTGGATCAGAGCCTGGGTTTACTTCTCAGCTCTGCCACTTAGCACTTTCCACAAGTTACCTAACCTGTCTGGGACTTAGTTTCTTCAATTATAAATTGAAGGAGATGGAAGTTGACCTCCCAGCTCCCTTCTACTTCTAAAGTTATGATTCTGTGATAGATATGCCATAATAATGGTGTTTACTTAATGTTAAATACATCAAAATCACTGCTGTAATAATATCCAGCTTTTTTCATCATTGAAAATAAACTTAAAATTTTTTTTCTTGCATTTCTCAAAGTTTTCTGTTGTCCCAACAGTCATTAGTAGTGAGGTAGGTTTTTTGTTTTTTATTTACTCATGCCAGTGCTATTATTAATGAAGTGCCTATAATAATCTGTCTTTACAAATAAAAGAGGTGTATTCTCTAATTTTTTTTGAAAGTTACATTTTCTTTTGTGAACTATAGTAATAGACAAAGCACTTATATTGTCCAGAGATATGATGAGTAAGAGGAAAAGGAAGAAGTCACAAGGACAGAAAGGTATATAGTTGGATTTGGAGGATCAGAATATCGTGTTTAAGTCTTGATTCTACCACTTACTAGTTCTGTGACCTTTGGTAAGTGACTTCATCTCTGTGGTCAGCAGTTTCTTTATCTTTAGGGGGTTGGAATTAGATACTCTAAAATGTATTTTCTGAAATAGGAACTTAAACTATAGACATTTAATTTTTTTGTGTGAAAACTGAAATTTTTTCTTTGATAATGCTTGAGACCATTAGGAAATAAAAAAAATTGTCTATGATGTTTTTGTTGTTCAACAAGACATACTACTACATTGAATTTTTAAGACTTTTTATAAACAAAGTTGCAAATAAGAACATTAAAATATCTAAACATGGTGATTCCTTGTTAGTAGAGAAGTTTAAAATAACTATCAAGTCAGCTTAAATTGATTAATCATTTACTTGCTCATCAAAGTATGTCCCTTCAGCAATTTGTATTGTATATTTCATAATAGGTACAATTAAGAAAAATTGGAGTAAATAGTTCTAAATTGTAGAAACCTCTTAGTGTTTAAGTTATTTTGACCTGTTATGTAGCTTTTCCCCCAACTATGTCAAAATTTTTAAATATCATCTGTTAGCACAAATGGATTTTAGGAACAATGTTTACTGCATAATGAAAAACAAGTTACCATTATTAACTGTAGAGAAAGCATAGGTTGCTACTGGTTTGTTTTAATGGATATTTTCACCATTAAAAATCATTTATGTCATCATTGATTAGGAACATTCTCTGTTCTTGTTCTTCATTGAGCAAGGGCCCGTTTTTATGCTTAACTTCCTAGCCAGATTAAAAACTAACGCTGTCTTGTGTCCCGTAGGCCTCGCCTGGTCTTGTCAACAGATTACAGCATTCCACTTGTTAGGACCAGCCACACAGGAGAAACTTTTTACTATTATGCTGTTGGGTAATGATAAAGAAGACAGAAAAGGTCTTTTATGGTAGTTGGGTCCTCAAAGCAATAATCACAGTTTTGGTGATAAGGAAACAAGCTGGATATCAGACATCAGGACATTAACTTGTTATCTCCAGTAGTGAACCAACCTCTTAAGTTCTCTGGCAATGACAGGAACCCTTCCATCTGCAGTGAAGATTTCCAGAAACTTGAGCTGTAGCTACTACAATATTTTTCTTCCTCCTAAGTAAAAGCAGAGTTAACCCTACCATTGTTAGAATAAAAATCATGTGTATTCATTGAAGAAATGCTGTAATATTACTTATAATAGTGTAATATCACATAGAGGGTTTTTGCCAATTCAAAGACACTTTCTCAGTCATTAAGGTTTTTAGCTTATATGTTAAGATGTGAGATGTGGGATTCAGCTTTCACATTTTTTATTCACTTGTGATGATTTTTTTAATATTCTCAAAAAGAACAATAAATATAATTTGTAAATGAAGATCAGTGAAGAAAGAGCATCTAAAGAATTTAGACTACAGTAAAAAGCAAATCCCTTTTCATTGACATAAAACAAATAAACTAGAAAATAACAGTGTAATTTAAGCAAATGTTTTCTCCAGATTTAGATTTTTAATAATTTATTGTCTCTATGAGAATATATATTTTGGCATAGAATCTGTATCAAGTTGCTACTGACTTCTTGTGCTTTGTTTATAGGTCTATGTAAATTATAAGGTTTGATTGTGAACCAGTATATTAAGTGTTAACGTTTTTCTTGCTGATATCAGTATGCAGAGAACTGGCAAGCAGAACTTGCTGAGAAGAGTAGACAGGATAACTGTCTCCGACTTTCAGTGTCCTAAACAACAGGTCCTTTTATGGCAAACACCAAATAAATGTTCACATGATTGGTTAGACCAGGAGAGCTTAGTGTAATGACAGGTGTTGGAGAAACAGGTGTAGCATTTGCCATGTGCTGATTTAGTGATTATATTTTAGCTCTGTGTGGGGGATGATACATAGCATATGCCAAGTAATTTGAGAAGGAATTTTGTCTATACTGATGATGATCTATGATCTTTGAGGATTTTATATTATAGCCAGTGTTGCCATTATGAAATCAAATAAGCAGTTTAGTAGTAGAAATACTAAGTAAAAATTTCCAGAATTTAGTGCTCATGTTCTTGCCTCTCTCAGAACAAAAATTATCAAGGAAAGTATGATGATGATAATGTATTTAAGAGATGGATTCAACTACTTTCATTATTATAAACTGTTAAAAATCATGAGTAAAATAAATAATAATTTATTTAAAAGCTTATAGTTAAGTTAACTTGACCAAAAATTTATGCAGTGACAAAACAAATTCTACTAGACTTTTCTTCAAAAATCTTATATACTTCTGATTATGCCCTCAGTCAGTATAAGATGAAGTCTCAGAGCTACATAAATTATTTAACCAAGTAATTCTGCCAAAAAATAGACCCACTTGGGTTAGAAAATCAGAGAGACCTCTTGGAAGAGGAAGGTTTAAGAAAAAAGTGTGAGGAAAATATCCACTTTTTCTATCCCTTTAAAAAATTTAATAGGTCATTTAAAAGTATTTATTTTGAAGCCAGTATTTAGTGCTCCAAGGTGACAGTATGTCACTAGGGATACTGAGTTACATTCACTAAACAGGAATTACAGTCCACTGGGCAAGCCAGTAGCACTATCAAAGCATTGAAGAAGTTATGTAAAAAGAGCTACAAAAACAAATAGTTATGTTTTGAATAGTTGTTTTATTTACAAATTTTTGTGTAGTATTTTTTATCATTTGAGTATGAAGTTAGTTGATGTATTCGTACATTTTTATTCAGTGTCACTTTAAAAATACATTTTTAGAATTTAAAATTTAGAATGGAATTAATGGACTACCATGTTATATTGTTAGTTTTTGTCAGAGTAGAGAAGATTGAGTAATCTATGTTATTTTCATAGACAAGTCATCTGTATGGTCAATAAGCATATATTAAGAGCTTACTGTGTGTAAGGCACTGTGCTAAGTGCAGGGAATACTGAGAGAGGCAAAGATATGGCCTCAGATACTACCCTCGAGTTACATTTTAATGAGAAAGACATTATGCAAATAACTGTGTACACATACACAAACAATGTGAATGAGAGATTATATAATGTCTCTGTATATGTATGCATATACACCATGTAAATGGGAAGTAACATGAACAAAAGGAACAGGGAGGGGGACAACCTGGAAAGGCCACCTGAAATTGATAGGATTTAAATTAAGTCATTACGGAAGCAGTGGAGGTCAGGAGAAAAAGGATCCCAGGCATGAGGGACAACCAATTAACAATTACAGGTATAAGAGATGTAGTATCTTTTGTGGAAAGGCAAATAGGCTGATATAGCTTGATATTAGAGTATGTATAGGGGAGTAAATTATAAGAAGATTAGAAAGGCAGGATAATATATCACTGAAATGGTTATTTTATTATAGAAGTGCAATGGTTGAAACAACAACAACTATTTTCAAAGGACCATTTTTTACATTTCCATTTTGCTCTATAAATTCCTGTTCATCCAACTGTCATGATAATAAAGTTGATTAGGGTCTGTCATTTAGCAGTAGAAACTGCCAAAGCTATATGTGATTATAGTATTCACTAAGTAGTTAGAAAAGGGAGAAACTAATTTAACTATGATATTCTTTCAACTTTACTGTAAAAAAGCTTATCTTGAGTATTCACCATGATAGGTTATCTTGAGTATTCATAATGAATTTGTTCTTTTTTTGAAAATTAGAGTATGTTTAAAATCATTTCAGTGGCTCAATATAGTTCAGTTCAGTCTGTGCTCTCTTAATAAATAAACAAAAAATCATGGCAAGTTAGTATTATTTGTGTGTGAATTCTCCAATTGTATTTCAGACATTAAGAAAGAAAGGCCTTAATGGTTGTGAGAGCCCTGATGCTGACGATTACTTTGAGCACAGTCCACTCTCGGAGGACAGATTCAGCAAACTAAATGAAGATAGTGATTTTATTTTCAAGCGAGGCCCTGTAAGTACTTTCATTTACCTTTACTTTTTATTTGTTGATCCTTTTTATTAACTTCATTATTTAGGCTCTGAACAAGAAGGAACACAGAGGGTGCGACAGCCCAGACCCTGATACTTCATATGTGCTAACTCCACATACAGAAGAAAAATATAAAAAAATAAATGAGGAATTTGATAATATGATGCGGAATCATAAAATCGCAGTGAGTACTAAAGTATGGTTTGTGCTTTTATCTTGTGCATGAAGATATTCACAAATATAGTTTATATTTTAGTATTCAGTGCTACGCTCCAGAAGTGATAGTATGAAATCGTTCATTAAGGAGTAGAGATTCCTTTTTAATTTGTTAGTTCTATGTCAGCCCGTATCAGTGGGCCCTAGAGAATGAAAAGATAAATGACACACCTTAGCCCTCATGATGTCCCTGTTGAGGAGCAGGGTAAGGGAAGAATAGTTAAGTTCATGGGTATTTGTCTGTGATAGTGATTTCTAATATATTTTTTTTGGACAGAGGGTCCTAATTTTCATTTTGATTGATCGACTTTTTAATTTAAAAATTTTAGTTGTTGTAAAATGCTCTTTTGGTGGATAGAGCACCACCCCTGGAGTCAGGAGGACCTGAGTTCAAATCCATCCAGCCCCAGCCACTTGATACTTACTAGCTGTGTGACCTGATTGCCTCATTCTCCCCCCCCCCCAAATGCTTTTTTGGGCAGTACTTATCTAATATCTTAGAGTAGAAAAGGTAAAACTGAAATTCTTTCCTTTTCTGTTTCCTTAATGACTTCCTCCTTATTTCTCTCTGCCCTTAAATGGAGTTTGGCAACTTCAAATCTAGTGTCTGTATTTAGCCTAAAGTGTAACCTCTTTTGATTATTTAAAAGTAGCCTCAGCTGATTTAATAATATAGCTGTTTTCCTTTTTGGGGCTTTGTAAAAATTACCTGATCCTTACGTATATGATAACATTTTCCTACAACTTTTTAAAAAATACTGTCTAGTGCTGAATCTATAATCCTATGATATTATGTTGATGTGTTTAGAGCCTTATTGTAACTTATAAGAAATAGCCTTTTCCAGAATAGATTTTAAAGGAGTATTCTCTTTGGATTGGCCAAATGACTTCTGAGGCTTCTTCTAGTTCTAAATCTATGGTCCCATGATTTTATTAGGACTACTTATGTGCATGTATCCAGTGATAATGAAAAGTTATTTTCTTTTCTTTCTTCCTTTTTTTTTCTTTTGCTGAGGCAGTTGGGGTCTTATAAGTGACTTGCCCGGAGTCACACAGGTAGTAGACATTATGTGTCTGAGAGTGAATTTGAACTCGGGTCCTCCTGACTCCAGGGCCGGGTACTCTTTCCACTACACCACCTAGCTGGCCCAAGATATTTTCTTTAGATTCATGCTCCTGACAGAGCCTTACTTTTTGCCCCCCCATTAGGATTTTATCGGGATAGTTTTTCCAAGCCCAGTATCAGTGCTTTTTCTCTAAAGTACTTTCCATAGGCTCAATATCTAATTTCCCTTAAACACACACACAAACACCCATAAATAGGTATCATAACTAGCATTGTTTTGGTTAAAGTGATACCACTACAAGGATACATCTGTTCATTGTAACAGCAAATAAAAACTACCTACCTCACAGGGTTGTTGTGAGGATTAGTGAATTGATGTAGAGCTTCTGTAGTACTACAAAAATAAAGTTTTACTTATAAAAAAAATGATCAGATTATTGCTTTCTACTTATTGTTCTGTTAATATAATTCTACAGTAAACTGATTTATTTGGGTCTGTAAATTCTTTGCATTCTATTGGCTTTCTTCTGGATTGACCGTGATTTTCTGATAAGGGAAAGCAAAGTGGTTTATTCTCAAAATTGAGGTATAGGTAACTCTTACTTTGTGATAGTTAAAAAGAATTTTTATAGAATCTTTAGAGGTAAAATTCAAGAAATAAAGAGAAAAGACCTTTTCTCTAGCACACTAGTAATTACTACAAATATATATGACATGTCATAAAGGACACCATTTTTTACTGTATATGAATTTTCATGGAGTCATTTTCCTAAAGCTTTCTCCAAACAAATTTCTTTGTCCAAATATATTTATTTTAAAGACATCGGAACAGTAAAAGGAATTCTTTATTAATCTGATCTGCCATTGGTTACCTGTTATTTAAGTGTATTTTCTGTATATTATTTCATTTTTACTAGGATCTTGTAATGTTAAGTATGTAATTAATATGTTGATATATGTTTTTTGGTAGATTTTTTAAAAAATCAAATAAATTAGTAATTGGTACTTTTTTTGCTTTTGGTCTCATAACTGTGTTGAAAATAACACATACACTTTTGTGTTTTGTTCTATTTTGAATCACTAATAAACATATAACTAGCTATATTTAAAATAAATAGTTAAATCTAGGCTAATTTTTATTTCTAAGGTGATTGATTAGTAGCAAAAAGTTATGTTTCTTATTATTTTACCTATATTATTTCACAAAATCTTTCAACCTAGTTATTCTGGCTTCTGATTTTCAGTTGTGCCAATATTTGTTATAAAAATTAATGTTGTAATTAATAGCCATTTTCAAGGTGAACTTAAAAAAAACTTAAATTATTTATACATTAGGCTTTTGCAAAACTGTCAAACAGGGTTAATATCTGCCCTTTGCATTTAAATGTTATAAAGACATTGTGAAACAAAGTATGCTAAATAGTTTATTAGTTCTAAAATGTAAATGAAAACTAAAATTTGCCCTTTTTTCCTCCTTTATTTCCAGCCTGGTTTGCCACCTCAGAATTTCTCAATGTCAGTTACGGTTCCAGTTACCAGTCACAATGCTTTGACCTACACTAACCCAGGGAGTTCACTTGTATCCCCATCATTGGCAGCCAGTTCATCATTAACAGACACAAGCATGCTCTCTCCACCTACAATGCATAGAAATGTATCTCCTGGAGCTCCTCAGAGACCACCAAGTACTGGCAACACAGGTAATCTTTTCTTTTCATTTTTCCAGTCCTTTAATAGTCTTAGTATTGTAATAATAGAGCTGATTGGTAACAAATGGCAAGTACTGCATGACAACAGTCAAGTCATCTTCCACTCCCTTACTGGCTCAGAATAATTTAGAATCATTGCTCTTCAGTTTTTTCTTTGACTTTAATTTGAGAACTGTTCTTTGAGAAGTATTAATATGTCTAATATTGCGAAGAATAAAGCATAGTCTCTGCCTTTATTATTTCATTTATTATATCATTGGAATGATATGACATTTACAATTAGTTAATAACAACTTAAGGTAATATTTGGTTGCATGAGAACAAGGAGATGGTAAGAATGAGATAAATAGAAAAGATCAGTTTGGACTTGCTAAGTCAGAAAAACAGCTCTTAATGTGAACTTTGAGTGGGATAGCTGAGATTTTAAAGGACCTTCCAGATGGATGATGATGTTGTTCAGTCATTTCAGACCCATTGTGACCTCGTTTGGGGTTTTCTTGGCAAAGCTATTGGAGTGGTTTGCCATTTTGTTTTCCGGCTCATTTTACAAATGAGGAAACTGAGGCAAACAGGGTTAAGTGACTTGCCCAGGGTCATACAGCTAGTAAGTGTCTGAGGCTAGATTAGTCTTCCTGACCCTAGGCCCGGCACTGTATCACTGCATCACCTAGCTGCCCCAGGTGGATAGAATGCTGTAAACAAAAGCTTGACATTAAGGATTTAAAAAGTTGTATTCAGGGAACAGTAGTGAGACCTGCTTAACTGGATTGGTGGGATCACACTGAGGAAAAGTTCTGTTCATTTTGGAGGAGGATCTACTCATGAATGAACATTACTGGATTTTCCACTGTATTTCACTTCACTCATGTTAGTCCTTTTGCCTAGAATAAATCTCCTTGCTCTCCCCCCACCCAAATTTCTACACCTCTCTAAATCCTGACCATTCATCAAAGTCCAGCCTAAATTTCTCTTTTCCTGTAAATGCCATGTCACAGGTAACTTTTCTTTTCTCTAAATTCTACAATCATTTGATTGAATTATGTCTAGTTAATAATTCAAGAATATATGCTTTTTCCCCCCAACTATGTGGTGATGCCCTTAAGGAGAGGAACCATATTTCATATTTACCTCTATCTCCCATAGCACTTAAAACAGTGCCCTGCACAAAGTAGATACTCAAAAATTGATTCATTTAAGAAAATTATGGATAAGCATGATGGGATAATAAGATGTGGGCTTTTAAGTGACAAGATGTAAAATCTGGAATTGAACTTAGAGTAGGGGAATCGTTGTAAGTTTTTGGACAGGAGAATAAGATGATGAAATAATTGTCTTTTGTTTTCTTTGTCCTGCCCTTACTCTTCTCACTATAATTTTGTCTGATACATTTATCGGAGGGGTATAGGGATTATGTCCATGGCCAGGAAGGCATGTTCTCCAAAAAAGTTTATGTTGAAACATTTTAATGTTGATTCCTTATTAGATTGTTTTTTTTAATGTTCTGGTTGTGCTTAATACAAGTAGGAATAGCTAATCTTTCTGTCTTCATTTTAATATTAGGTGGAATGTTGAGCACTGCAGACCTCACAGTGCCAAATGGATCTGGAAATAGTCCAGTGGGTAAGTAAGTGATGTAATTCTTTGGTTCATATACTGTAGTCATCCATCCCTATGTTTGAGACATAAGAAACTTGATCTCAGATCACTGCCTCCTACTAAATTACAATTTAGAGAAGAAAAAAACTAGGAAAATGACGAGGCTGATGGGTTCTGATTATTTTTTTTTTTTTACAAAAAAAAGTTCACCTTTCCCTTTAGAAACTGTATTTGTTCCTTGAGCCTATTTTCACAAATGTCTTCTTTTTTATTTTGAAACCACATGTTAAAATTGTAAAAAAAAATTAGAAAAATAAGCATTTGCATCAAGGTATAATAACTTGAGAGAAGCATCCCAAATTTTCTGTCTCATATTATTCAGCGTTTGACTTTATAGAAGGTAGTCTTCTTCTAAAATTATAATATCTTTTCTCTAACACCATATAATAACCAAGAGCGTTCAGAGCATGAGGTTGGTTGGTTAGTTGATTGTTGTCTTCCATTCTCAGAGGGGACCAAAACGACATCACTATGCCAGAGTCAAGTTTCAGTGTGTCCAGCTGGCTGGTCAGACCAATATGAGCTTGGAATGCTGTACCACAGGTCTGGCACAAATAGTTCATGTGACCATTTGGGGTGGTTTCTCTAAATTTGCGCATCCTGCATTTCCTTTGAGCTCTTTCAATTCTACTTTGCTCATAGAGGACATCGTCTTCTCTAATGTGGGCATGCCATACTGAACAGTCCTGTGCCAATATCTCCCATGTCACACAATCAATTCCAAAGTTCTTGAGAGACCTTGAGAGTGTCTTTGTATCGCTTCTTCTGACTACCATGTGAACCCTTGTCCTGTGTGAGTTCTCCATAAAATAGTCTTTTTGGTAAGCATATGTTTTGCAGTCATACAACGTGGCCAGCCCATCGGAGTTGCACTCTCTGAAGCAGAGTATGAATGCTTGGTAGTTTAGTTTAAGAAAGCACCTCAGTGTCTGGTATCTTATCCTGCCAGGTGATCCTCAGAATCTTCCTAAGACAATTCAAATGGAAGCAATTCAGTTTCCTAGCATGGCGCTGGTATACTGTACAGGTTTCACAGGCATACAACAGTGAGGTCAGCACAACAGCTTTGTAGACTTTCTGTTTAACACCTCTTCTCTCTCATACTTTCCTTTGGAGCCTCCCAAACACTGAACTAACTCTGGCAATGCGTGAGTCAACCTCATTATCAATGTGTACATTCCTGGAAAGTACGCTACCAGGGTAAGTGAACTTATCCACAGCATTCAAAACTTCTCCATTTGCTGTAACCAGTAGTTCCACGTATGGATGGTATGGTGGTGGCCGATGGAGCACAAGCAGTGGAGAACTGATCCCTACTTTGCTGCATCTCAGCTTCAGAGGCTGCATGAGTACACAATCATCTGCGAACAGAAGATCATTCACCAACACTCCCTCTGCTTTGGTCTTGGCTTGTAGCCTTTTCAAGTTGAAGAATTTACCATCAGTATGGTAGCTGACCTGGATGCCATGGTCTTCCTCATTGAGAGCATTTGACAACATGGCTGAAAACATCATGCTAAAAAGCATGGGAGCAGGCACACAGCTTTGTTTCACTCCATTGGTGACTGGGAAAGCACAAGAGCATTGTCCATTATCCAGAACCCAGGTAAGTGTGCCATCATGAAATTGACAGACAATGCTGATGAACTCTGGGCAACATAATTTTCCATAAGCCCTCACTACTGACAGTTATCAAAGGTCTTGGTCAGATCTACAAATATTGTATACAGACCTCTGTTCTGCTCCTGGCATTTCTCCTGGAGTTGTCAGGTAGAAAACACCATATCAACCGTTCCTCAGCCCTTTCTGAAGCCACACTGGCTCCCAGGTAGATGACCATCTTCCAGGTGAACAATCAGCCTATTAAGGAGGACTCTGACAAGAATCTTGCCAGCAATGACTTGAGAGAGACCTTCCTGTGATTGTCACAGGACAATCTATTTGCTTTACCTTCCTCAAACTTCTGGAGGATAACCTCCTCTTGCCATATAGTGTGGAAAATTTCAGTCAGCTTTTGTATGAGCAATGGAACCCCCTACCTTGTAAATCTCAGCTGGAATAAAATCAGCACAGGGCTTTGCCACATAAAAGGAGCCTAATGGCATTCAAAACCTCTTCTTAAGTTGGAACTTCAGCTAGGGAGGGATTGACTTCAACCAGAGGTAAACAGTCATTGGCCTCAGCATTGATTGACGATGGTCTGTTGAGAACACTATGGAAGTGTTCAGCCCATCTCTTTAGGATCATTTCCTTATCGCTAATCAATGTGGCTCCATCAGCACTGAGTAGTTGAGATGTGCCGATGGTGAGTGGAATCATCTTTGCAGATGTTTTTGTACATTTTTTTGTGTTTTGACCAAAGAGTGGGATTTCCTGCCTGCCACAGTGATCGGGGCAGGGCTGGGTAAGCAGATAGGTTTTAGGGCACCTTTTCTAGCTCCTTCCTCACACCAGGAGGTGAGTAGTGCAGTCCTTAAAAGGCTGCTCAGACACCTAGGGGACTGCCAAATCCTGCTGCTGCTTCTGGAGAGAAGATGACCCTATGACCTAGGCTTCCTGTGTGCAGGATTGTGACTCCAGCTCTTAGGGTATCTGTACCTGCTGCTTCATCACTTGCCTGTCACCACAGGACTTTGAGATAGGTAAAATGGTAAAATAGTATGGGTGATTTCTTTTGATTCATGCATAAATTGAATTTAAGGGAGGCAGAGTTGCACGAAGTCATCGGCCTCACCCTCTCCTCAAGAGTCATCACAGTCCAGTGGCAGGACAGAATTAAGATGACTGGTGATGGCTCAAGATGCAGTGGATGATCTTGGTGTCTTTGATGTCTAACCAAGCTCTAAGCACTCTACAGCGCCTGCTTTAGCTGCCTTCGTGGCCATTGGAACAAACTGTTCTCATGTGCCCATTCCACTGGGAGAAGTCTTCATGTGCTTGGGGTAGACACCCCCTGACTTACTAATGGGTTTGAGACCCCTCAGTTACCCTCATCCTGGTTTAGCCCGTCTGCCAAAATGGCTTACTGAGGTGTGGCCACTGTGAATGCTACAGCTTCTTGGAGCCACAGGTGAGAGGTGGAACAGGTGGACACCAAAAGTGGAAAGCAGCCCTTTAAGGGCTGCTTGGCAGCCGTCACACAAGAGGTACTAGTCTTCCTTGAACACATCCTGTATCCCAAAAGCATGAGGTAGCAACCTTGTGTCTAGATGTATAGCATTGAAAGGTTTTATCTTCAAAGGATCAGCATTTCATTTGGAGAAAATTTAAATTATTGCTCATTGAGCGTTTTCATTTTGATTCTCCTACAGATTTGACAAGTATTTGAACATATTACATAAATATTGCTGTGAAAATTAGTTCCTACCAATTACAGAGAATGTTGAAGATAATTAATATCTTCATTCATACTTTCCTCAAAGCATTTCACGATAAGCTGGGCGAGGATACAAAGATATTTAAGAAGCTTCTGCTTCCCTCAGTGATATGTACACATAACAGCTACTCTGCAAAGCCATATATGATCATAGGCACCATATGAGTGATACGGCAGTACAGACAGTGGTATAGAAGTTTAGAGAGAAAATTATTTGATGGTGATTGCTTTAATCTATTTGGAGATCAGTGGAAACTTTCAAATCAGTAGGCGGGTAGGTGGTACAGCAAATAGAATACTGGACTTGTTGTTAAGAATTGAGTTCAAATCTGGCCTCTTATGTTTATTGACCCTGAGCCAAGTCCCTTAACCTTTATTTGCCGCCGTGTCTTCATTTGTAAAATGGGAATAAATAACAACACCTACCTTGGAGGGCTGTTGGGAAGATCAAATAAGATAATATTTGTAAAGTGCTTAGCACATTGTAGACACTATATAAATGCTTATTTACTTCTCTTCCTCTAAGTAAAGTTGGCAGAAATCAAATTTGAGTCTTGGTCAGCATTTTCTGAGTAAGATGGTGAATTGTAAAACAAAGAAAATTAGGGCTCCACTCTTCAATACTGTGATGGATATGTGTTCATATTGATATGGGTGGGTATTCCCTCCAGGGATATAGATTGCAGCCTATCTACACTCTCTTGGCTGTGTAGATCCTTTATAGGCAATCTGCTCATTGTGCTTGGAAACCTTTTTCTGGAACTCTTGACATTTGCATTGATAGAATGAAGTGATATGATTTAGAACAGTTTATACAGTGACAGCCACAATGTAGAAAAAATCAACAGTGAAGGATAAGAGCTATTATCAGTGCAGCAACCAACAGACAAGCAATGAATTATACTTCCCATGTTTTGGTAGAGAGGTGAGAGGATGTAGATTCAGAATGAGGTATACATTTTCAGACATAGTCAACATATATATTTATTCTGCTTGATTATATTTATTTGTTACGCAGGAGAGTTAATCTGTTTTTCCCCAAAGGAAAGGGGTAGATATAGAGAATCGGAGAGAGAGTAATATTGGTAGTCCCTTCCCCCACCTCCCAAAAAAGTGTTAATGAAACATTAAAATAGAAGAAAGCAGAAAGAAGTTTAGGTGGGGATACAGATAAGCAAGGCATTATTGGAACTGAGTTAAAATCAATATATATTATTTTCAAAAGGAAACTTTACATAATAGAGTTTTCAGTTCTTTGGATTAGAGAATGTCATGTTTATTGATAGCTGTCAAGTTCATAATACTAAAAAATATTTTAAATGACATTGCACGGGTCCTAGTGAAACACTTAAACTGCCCATCAGTTATCTGTTTTTCTTATGACAGAACTGGCCCACCTCCTTTTTCCATCATCCGCCTCTCTGATGATATCTTATATAACTTATCTTTTGCATTTCTTTGTTGGTAGTGTGCTGCAACTTATGTTCACTGTGCTTTTTCTTCATTGCCAGTTGTGTTACTGCACCTTCATTTTAGTGAGAAGTAGTGGAAGGAAAAATAAGGTTACAAAGCTTGGCAGGAGACCCAG